TTAACCATCTCGTGCATTCTTCCTTCATCTCAAAACTCAGAAATCCATTCAGCCTTCTCACTGTCAGCAGATGACTTCTCAACAGATCTCATTTCTCAAGAAAACAGGATCAGAAGAGAACTTCATTCTGCAAGCAGGAGTCACATGGTGGAGGCAGGGAGAGAGGATGAGGTGACAGATTTTGTTCCACTGAGCACAGGGAAAGGGGTGGGGAAAGTTTGGAAAATTCGTAAGAATTGATGTGCAAAGCTTTCCAGTACTGAGGTCTACAATAAGGAAGCCTGTCTTTCTCATGGTGACAGGGGGAGGTAAGGCTTGGTGGAACCTGTCTTGATGCTATCTGAGGGGAAGGGGAACAATAGGCTCTGCTCTACCACATATTAGGACACTGTAGAGAATAAATGGGCAGTATCGAATTTATGTGGCTGGGGATGAAGGTAATGGAGGTCTTGCAGGAGCTGTGTGGGTCTTTATTGAAACCCTCTCTTCTGGGTGGGGTTCAGGCAAATTGTGAGTAGCGGGGTTTGGGGGAGAGTAGATGAGAAGGTTTGCAATAAGAAATTGTTATTAAATATGAGGCATGAGAGCCATCAGTTCTACCAGGTATTAAAACTACTTAAAATCAGTAATAATAAAATTGAGGTCTGGTACAAAAAGATATACCTTAGTCATTTGAGCAGAATGGGTAGATTAGAATTTTATATACAATAAAGGAGCATAGCAAAAGGATGTAAAACATAAGGATTATTTAATAAGCCACATTTAGATAATTGGGCTTAACCAAAATTTAAAATTTAGAAAACATAAACTTTGATGCAAAAATATACCAAATAAATGACAGCTATAGAGAAGCATTAAATATATAAATTTGAATGGATAAACTCAGAAATAGGTTAGTTATGTATCAACTATCTGAAAAAGAAGACTAGTTTTTAAACTGAGAAACAGCACAGAAGAGATTTTTAAATGAATAACCGTATATTTTGTTATGCATAGGTTTTAAACTTGAGTATGTCAGTAAGGTAAAAATTATATGATACACCATTTTGACAAAGAGTTTTTCTTAAAAGATGTATAATCTTGTGTACTTTTTCAATCTTACTTATATCTTCATTGAAATTAAGATTCTCATTTAGAAACTATCACCAGTCCAGAACAACAAAAAATTCACTCAATATGAATAGCAGCAGACAAGATTTAAAACAATGTCAAACCTAGCTGTTATCAAAGAAATGGTGAAGTAAAATAAAGACCTACATTTTTTACTTAATTTACTAAAATAGTAAATGATAATGTACTTATATACCCTTACAAGATGAAACAGTTCTTTTTGAAAGTAGTTTTATAATGTGTTCTAAGTAATAAAATGTATGTGTTATTTCAACCAGCTAATTAATTCCTGGAATTTTATTCTAAAAATATAATCAAAATAATTTTTAAAAGTCTATGTGTATATAAAGTTTATGTGATTATAAAAATGTAATCAAAATAATTAAAAAGTCTTCTAATGAAAAAGAAGATATTCATCACTACATTAATTATAATAAAAAATTAACCTCAAAATAGCAAATGGTGGATGGAATAATTGTTAAATTGGGGTGACAAAATTATGGATGATCTTCTGTTTCCAGATTTTCTGAAATAATTGTGAAGAGTTTGGGAAAGACCCTGCATCTTCCCACCACATTAGCTTTAGAAATATTGGCCTGAGCAGGTAGAAAACATTACATTTGCTTTCCGAATTTCATGGCATTGCCAAATGTTTTAACACTGTAGACAGCTATATCAGACATTGAAGATGAGTGGCCTATTTACCCTACTTAAATAGGAGATTAGAATATTGATTATGAAAGGATTTCGAAGGCACCATGTCTCCAGCTGCATCCATGCAACTTTTAAGTGTGATTTGATCTGTAAAAAAAGAACAGAATCTCTTATGATTAATCAGGAATTCTAAAATTGATACTTTGAAAAGTTTACTTCCAGAGAAACTTTCTTATGGGCAAGAAAGAAAGATAATACAGCCCACAATTGTACAAATATTATTTCAAATGTCTTCCAGTGGCTGATATTATTTATAAAAGACATACTATTTCATCTCTTGATGGGTAGTCCTCAAACTATCACTCTTGAACATTACATTAGAACTTTATTGAAGTTTAAAGGTTATATGAATAAAAGACCACTGTCATTTTCATGTTCAACATTCAGTTGCATAAACCGTAGGGATTCTTGCTGAAATGTCCTCTAGCAGTTTTTATGCAGATGGCAGAATATAAACGCTTTATTACAGACACATAAACACACGCCATGGCTTCATGACAGAGAATGATGTAGAGTCAGTCTGCAGAATCTGTTGGTGTGTGCTCCTCAAGCAGGAGGCAGGGAAAAGCTTTGGCAGAAAAACAACATGGAACCACACGCTTATAAGAAACAGTTCAATGGGTTTCCTGCTGCAACTTCCTATTTTCCATGGAGGCTGCAGTGTTTCATTGTTGGGTTGGATGAAGTTTATTATAAATCTCTTTGTCTCAGTGCTCCTAGATGTAACGAAGTTGAGGAGTGGGTGTAATGCAGAGGGAATGTGTGTTTAGACTCCACAGAAGTTACTCTATTTTGTTGCAGGAAACAGAGCTTGGAGTAGCCGAGCCTCCAAGGGTTGGAGGGAGCACCAGGGAAACTGTGTGCATCCTCCTTGATTTATTTACAGAGCCACGTTCTCGGCTGAATGCCTTCAGCCTGCCCAGCCCACTAGAGACTTAAACAGCTTTTGCTACACAAAGGAGTTCTCAGGGGACATCCCATTCCGTTCTGTGGCTCCGTCTTCTTCTCTTCATTGGCTCAATTCTGCTTCCTCACATCCTCCAAGTACAGGGCAATCACTAAATGGTTCAAATCCTCAAGCTCCTGGTAAACACAGGCAAACTAAAAGGATCCAGAAGAAAATTGCCTTAGTCTGTTCTCACATTGCTATAAAGACATACCTGAGTCTGAGTAGCTTATGGAGAGGTTTAACTGACTCATACTACCACTGACTGTACAGGAAGCATGGCTGGGGAGGCCTCAGGAAGCTTATAATCATGGCAGAAGGTGAAGGGAAAGTAAGCACATCTTCACATGGCCAGCAGAAGAGAGAAAGAAGCAGAAAATGCTGCACACTTTGAAACAACCATATCTCTTAAAAACTCACTCACTATCATGAGAACAGCAAGGGGGAAATCTACCTCCATGATCCAGTCACCTCCCACCACGTCCCCCCTCCAACATTGGGAATTTGACATAACATTTGGGTTAGGACACAGAGCCAAACCATGTCACAAACATAGTTTTTATCTGCATGTTGGTGGAAGCTCTATGTTTGTATATGTCTGTTAGAAAACTGTCCAATTCTTACTGGAAAAAGTACAAATTAAGCTTGCTACAAATTGCAAAAACTGCAATTACTTTTGCATCAACCTAATAGAAGACGTTTAGAAAAGTTTGTTGAAATGTTGCTTGTTCTTTTCTGCCATCCTAATATTAAAAGCTTGCCCAATTATTTGCATTATTATGACACTAGTCTTGTGATTTAGGTTACATTCACAGTAGGCAATTAAGGCATGTCAGTTTCCAAGCAGAATCCTGATGATGATTCAACTACTGGCAAATCATCAGATGGATTGCTGAGGTGGTTGCTCAGATGTTGCAAAATGATTCATTTCTTGGAAACATGGATAAATTTCAGCTCCAGGAGTAATTCTCTTTCAACACTAGAGATGGGGAAGATACCACTACAAAGTAGACATTTATGCATAGTCATTATAAAGTATATTAAGAAGTAGAACGGAGGATACTAGAGGCTGGGAAGGGTAGGGAAAAGGCATGGACAGGGAGAAATTTGTTAAAGAATATAAAATTACAGCTAGATAGGAGAAATAAATTCCAGTGTTCTGTATCACTGCAGGATGACTACAGTCAACAATAATATATAGTTTCAAATGGGTAGAAGGAGGATACCAAATGTTCCCAGCACAAAGAAACGATAAATGTTTGAGACGATGGCTATAACAGTTACCCTGATCTGATTATTACACATTATATGTGTCAAAACATCACTATGTACCCCATGAATATGTACAATTATTGTCAATTAAAAAATAAAATAAATTTAAAATTTAAAAACTTTTTTAAAATGGTGACATATGGTACAGTAAAAAATTAAAAAACATTTTCAAATAATATTCAGAAAATTAAATTCTTCATCTTCATTTCCCAATTTATTTGTCCTCCTTTTTTGTCTTCTTCTTCATATTTCTATCATGGTTCTACCACCCTCCAATTATAGGAGTCCTATACTGGGTACTCAATAGCTCAGCCCCTTCTTTCACTCTTGCCCCTCTTTCTCCACACACCCAGTCATCACCTAAAGACTTGGCTGCTAAAGGACCGTTAAGATGTTTTTCCCTCCACTTTCATGAGTCCCTTATAATCCCTCACATATGCCATTACATTGTGGTACCTTTTCTTTGATCTGCCTCTACGTCTGTCGACTGCTGAGAGTGGTCTTCCCAAAGCATATTCACTACCACGTTCAAAGAATCCCTGATAACTCCGTGTTATACAGTCTACATCACATTCAGAGCCCACCGTGGTGATACACCCAGATTCCTCATTGTCTTTTCCCATTCTTCCTTTTATGTACTCATTGCTTGAGGTGAAGGGCTCTCCTGCTTCAATGCTTTTGCTCAACCTGAATTGTCCCTCTGCTTCTCTCTCTGCCTCTTCAGCATCATATTTCCAAGAAACTTTCTCTAAACAACCAATTCTAAACACTTTAACCCATGATACCATGTTTTAGAGCACTTACCCTTTCATACCTATGTGGTCTCAACCTAATAAAACTAAGTTTTTGGCAGCCACAATTTATGTCCCCTCCCAAAGTATCTAGCCTAGTGACTTCAACACAGTAGAAATGCAAATATTTGCTAACTGCCTGATGTTCTCTTCCCCTTCTTTTTCAGCAGTACCACCACCCTATAGTTACGACCACGAGATGGAATACTGTGCAGACTTGCCTCCGCCATACTCTCCCACCCCACAGGGTTCAGCACAGCGTTCTCCACCTCCTCCTTATCCTGGAAACCCAAGGAAATAATCTATCTCCCAGAAGAGAAAATGTGCCAATCGGTGATCTTGCCTGGAATAAAATGCCTCTACTCAGAAACAAGCAAAAAAGAATTGCTCCAAGGAATACTTTTTGGGGTCAGATAATATGTCAGGTAGAATATCCCTGTGAGGAGCTACAGGGTTTGTACCCTGCTCAAACCTGACCCCATCTGGAGTATTAATGTTTGGTTTCATGGAAGTACATTTTAAGAGATCTTCTGATCCACCTAGCACATTCAGAGAAGAGTAATGTGATTGACAAAATATCTGATAATCATGTTGTTTAAGGGCTAGGTGAAGGAAGTTTCAGTATTGATACCAGAAAAAAGATCTAAGTAGGATGGGAGAATGGTTTGGCCTACACAAGAAAGCAACTTCATTATATGTAGCTTTAAAAGTCAGAATTGGAATTGTTCATTCTTTCATTCATCAGTAAATGTATTTTGAGTGCCTAAGCGTGAACTATGTGCCTAGCACTGTTTGAGGTCCCATTGGAAGTTACAGGAAGGGCACTCTGGTTTTAGTATAAGAAAAAGCCATGACTAGATTGCTGTGTGAAGCTCCTGGTAGAGACGTGCTCTAGAAGGGACAATGAAATCAAATAGTAGATGAGTCCACTGGGTCTCAGAAGTTCTGCTCATCTTTTATGTGGGTGTGAAGTGAATTTCTATTGTATCTAGGAGTGAATACAACAGAAAGAGTTGAATCTTATTTATATAATTAGGGAGTTAAAATAAGCCCAAAAACAACTCAATAGCTGTCTGAAGCCAAGAACCCTTCAACACCAGCTACTGCCACCTAAAAATCATCTGGTTTTATAGTGGATCAAAATAAAGGTTATTCCAACCAGTGGGGGAAAAAAAAAATTGTAGCAAGTTCCATAGGCAGCAGATACTTTGCTTCGGTAAAAGATGAGGAACCAAATATTCCCAAAGACTTTAGGTCCCAAAGACTTTAGGTCAGGGAGCAAAAATCTCAGACCTTGACCATGAAGACACACAACAGGCTTGTAAAAAGAAGTAAGAGAGAGAAATGAAGTTCAGATTTTCTTCTGTGGAATTCTTAAACATATTTTTGTCTCCTTTGTAAAATTTTGGTAATCTATTCTCTTTAAAAAGTTAATGACAAAATTAAGATACTGACATCAAATTGTTGCATTTTAACAAAATGCAAATTTTATGAAGTGCCTACCTTTAGATGTATAAACATTTAATAAGTAATTCTAATGTGCCATATTTTGCTGCAAGTGACCTTAACATTTATATTTTTATATGAGTTGTTTCATGTATTTATAAAAATTGCATATTGAACACTGGAAATAGATTATTGGATTTTTGTGTCATTTTGCAACTAAATCTAAAATGTTTAGTCTAAAATCATCATCAAAATTCAGTGAAATCCCAAAACAGTGCCAAGAATTTTGCTGAATGAAACAAAGCAAGCGTCTTAAGGTTTAAATTATAGTACCTGTCCTTGCAGATAAGAAACTACATTGCTATTATCAGTAGCGTATTTTACTTTCAGATACCTATAGTGTAAAGATACTGATCTGACTGAAATATAGTCTACCTACCAGTAAGGTCTAAAGGCTGAATTTGTTTTGAATAACTTCCTTGATTTTTAAACACTGATGATTTTCTTATATATGAGGATGCAAAGCCTTCAAGAGTTTCAGCCTGTTCTAGTGAGGGGCTTCCTGACTTACATGAAGTTTTCAGCACAATTTTAATAGTACCTATGGTTTAATTTATTTTTCTTCTGCCTGTAATCAGACCCAATTATACTGCAGCTATGACTCTAAGTGCCAGGGTCTCTGCGATGATTCTGAGGAGGTTGAGCACAAATATACCATATATTCGTTAAGAAAAATCTAAAGGAAAGAACAGCAGAAATAGAGTTTTATCATCTTCACTATCAATAAACATTTATTGTATACCTCCTATGTTCTGCAAATTTTCCCCCAATAGAGGCCGTTTCTGTCCACCCCATCTCTCTTCTTTGAGTTGTTCATGGCCTCCCTTAAGGCATTTTACAAACCCATAAGCCTACAATAGACGAGTATTTTTACTGTTTGTATTAACTGTCACAATAGCATAAATGTACACATTACCAGTGCATACTTTTGGAGTTCACTGATTGTTTTCATAGATGATGCTTCTTGGGGAAAAATAGTATAGGATGTGAAAGCTTTGAATTATGGTTATTTAAAAACTAACATTTGCTGTGGCCAAAGTGTTTATAATAAGCAATAAAATGAAAGAACCTATTATAACACAGATTATATTTTCATTGTCTTGTGTCCATTTTTTCACTCTCTATTCCTGCTGACTTTGCCTGATTCTTCTGTGCAGGAAACACAGGGCTGGAGCCAGGCAGGCTTTATTTTGAATCCTGTTTCCTGCCTGTGTGATTTGAAGCAGGCCACTTCATCTCTGAGATTCAACTTTCTGCTCTGGAAAATGTAAATAATATTATCAGTCTCATCATGTTCTACAAAAATGGGATGAATATATGCAAAATTCTAAGCATAGTGCCTGGAACATAGAAAATGTCCAATAAATATTAGCCAAAAATAAATTAACAAAAGAACAATATAATGAGAACAACCTCTAGAACTGTGTGATCCAACACAGTAGTCCTCAGCTACGTATGGTCATTTAAGTTATAATTAATTGAAATGAAATTAAATGAAAACTTTACTTCATCTGTCTCACTAACCCCACTGCAAATGCTGCATAGCCTCATGTGGCTAGGGACTACCTACATTGTTGGGCAGTGCTGCTCAAGAGAAATCTATGCAAAAACACAGTGAGATAGCAGGAAGGCTACTACTCCAATCACCCTCTCCAGGAGAAACTATGGACTTTGTCAGCTAATTGTGATGTGTTGAGGGGCCATTCCCACGGAAGCAAGGCTGTAACTTGCATGAGAACCCATGAGCAATGAGAGGCTTATCTGGCCCTCTCCAGAGCCATAGGCAGGAAAGCTGTTGCAAGAGCTGAAGGGCTGATGATAGGAGAGAGACCTTAGACCTGACGTTAGAGCTGCTGAGACAGAGCCACAGCCTGTTCTTAAGTCTAATCAATTCTGTAGTTGCCTACCCAGCTCCAGAAGCTACTACAGGAGCATCTGGGGCTACCTACATCTTCCTAGGTGCCGGGCTATGGGGTACCCTTCTGTTTTTTCATAATCTTGTTCCCACCAGCAAATGAAGGCAGCACTCATCATATATCCACTCTACTTCCAACTCGTCCTTGTTTAACCAAACTCATTTTGCCAACCTTTGGCTGTAGGTGAGGTAGGGCCTGGCACACATCAGACTATATATTAAGCTCATCAAATAGTGGAACTCTGGATACTATTGTTTGATTTTTTTCACTTCTTTAAAACAACCTAACCCCAGAATGTCAAAGTCACATGGCCACCTCGTTAATCACCACAGAGGCATCTAAGGACTGCCATATTCTCAGTCAAAACCTATCTGAAAGGCATAGTTTCTGTTCTCTGATTTGGGGCCCAAGCTGTATGGGATATGGCTGAACTTTGGCAAGTGCAGAACTCTTCTGGTACAACTATACTGTGTAGTATGGTTCAGTTTAAACAATGTCAGGACCCCTAGTAACAGAAAGTGACATGATTAAGCATAAAACAACCCACAGGCTGGGCACAGTGGCTCACGCCTATAATCCCAGCACTTTGGGAGACCAAGGCAGGCAGATCACAAGGTCAGGAGATCAGGACCATCCTGGCCAACATGGTGAAACCTCAACTCTACTAAAAATACAAAACAATTAGCCGGGTGTGGTGGCATGTGCCTGTAGTCCCAGCTACTCTGGAGGCTGAGACAGGAGAATCGCTTGAACTTGGGAGGTGGAGGTTGCAGTGAGCCGAGATTGCACCACTGCACTCTGGCCTGGGTGAGAGAGCAAGACTCCATCTTAGAAAAATGAAACAAAACAAAACAAAACCCACAGATGATTCTGATTTCCAGCCTATTCGTCCCTGCTCAGGCCTCTAACGCCTATCTAATGCAGAGGAAAGAACCAAAGCTTCAGAGTAATGCAGACTTTGTTTTCTCTCTCATCTCTGTCATCTAATTACATGTTCGGAGCCAAGTAACGAAATTTCTGTAACTTCAGTTTCATCCAAAATATATGAATAACACCATCCTTGCCAGGTGGTTGCAATGAATATAAACAGTATATGTAGAACATCTGTCACCAAGATCCTACCTGAGTTGGTGACTTGACAGACACAAATGTATATACATATTCTCTTTCCTTTACGCCCCACTCCTGAGCCGTACCACTTCTATAAACACATGCATTCATTATCCTTTGCTTTGGAACAAATTATCTCAAAACTTAATGGCTTCAAACATTCATTATCTCCATTTCTATGGATCCGGAATCTGAGGTGGCTTAGCTGGATTTTGTGGCTCAGGGACTGTCACAAACTGCTGTCATCTCAATGTACTACTAAGAAAGTATCTGCTTCCAAGCCCACTCCCATGCATGGTAGTTGACGGGATTCAGTCCCTCGAAAGCTTTTGGGCTAGGGAGTTCATTTTCTCACTAGCTATTGGTGAGAAGCCACCCTCAATTTCTTGGCATATGGGGTTCTCCATAGGGCAGCTTTAAATGTGTCAGCTTGCTTCCCCAGAGCAAGCAAGAAGAGCCATGGAGCAGAAGACAGTGCTAGCAAGACAGAAGTCACAGACTTGTGAAATCTAATATTGGAAGTGATATTCCGTCACTTTTGCCATAATCTGTTCTTTAGAATCAGGATGCTAAGTTCATCTCACATAAAAGACGAGGGAATTATGCAAGAATACAGAAACCAAGAGGCAAGAGAGCTTTGAGGGCCATCTTAGTAGTCGGTATACCATAGCAAAGATACTTTATCTTATTCTCCTTACGCCAATTATTTAGAGTTTAGACAATGTAGAAAATAATACCTTCCCTGTAATGAGAATGTACCAACTCAACAGCTGAAAGAATCCCAGGCCATGCTTGGCTATGATAAATTGCCTTTATTGAACCAAGAGCAGAATAGAGCTGGAAACATTCAAGGGCCACATTAACTAGATTAGTGCTACATTCCTAAGAAATATCGAAAAGATACACACAAGGCTTGTGTTTCTCATGAACTTCGTTTATGAGCTGTACTAAAGCTCATCGTATTAGGCAGGGAATGAAGTACAGCACATACAACATACCTTTATGGACGAGTCTTAAAATAGTCTCAGTTCTAACCTTTGTTTCAACTCTGTTCCAAGATATTTAATCTTCATCAAGAAAATAACTCAAGACAAGTTTCCAGAAGAATGTTCAGTGGATCAAGTTGCTATCTAACCTAATCCTGAATGCCTTCACTAAAAATAAACATCCAATCCAAAGAAATATTTGGAACTGTGGGAACATGTGTTACGAATATTTGCCCCCTCTGGATGCATGAAAGAGAAATCCGTTTTCTAAAAATTTAGACTTTGATTGCTACTTTTGCTCTGTTCTTTTTCTTTCTTTTCTTTCTTTTTTTTTTTTTTTTTTTTTCTTTTTTTGGACAGAGTTTCGCTCTTGTTACCCGGGCTGGAGTGCGATGGTGCAATCTCAGCTCACTGCAGCCTCCACCTCCTGGGTTCTCCCATCCCAGCCTCCTGAGTAGCTAAGATTACAGGCGTGAGCCACCACACCAGGCTAATTTTTGTATTTTTAGTAGAGACAGGTTTTCACTATGTTGGCGAGACTGGTCTCAAACTCCTGACCCTCAAGTGATCCAACTGCCTCAGCCTCCCAAAGTGCTGAGATTACAGGTGTGAGCCACCATGCCCGGCCTCTGTTCTCCTTTTTCTAACTCAGTCATGAATAGCTTTTGAGTGTGCACCACCTGCCATTTCTTTTTTTTATTGCTGTTTGTTTTTTCTTTAGAGACAGGGTTTCATTCTGTCAGCCAGGTTGGAGTGCAGGGGAATGATCATGGCTCACTGCAGCCTCAACTCTTGGGCTCAAATGATCCTCCCACCTCAGTCTCCCAAGTAGCTGGGAATAGAGGTGCACACCACAAAATCTAGCTAATTTTTTTAATTTTTTAAAAAATAAAGACAGTTTCTTGCTATGTTTCTCAAGCTGGTCTTGAACTCCTGGCTTTAAGCAATCTTCCTGCCTCGGCCTCCTAAAGTGCTGAAATTACAGGTATAAGCCACCACACCTAGCCCATACCTGCCATTTCTAAGTGTGAGGAAGAAGCAAGAGAATGATTTTCTGAATCTTGTTTGGTCATGGCTGACAAATGAATAAGATGTCTTGCATTGTTTTCATGGCCTGCAAGATGCATAATTTTTCCTGACTAAAATATCCAAGAGATCTAATTCTCCAGTTTTGTATCTTATTGTGAATGCCTTGATTATCACACATGTGCCTCATCTTCCCCATTGACTAGAAAGCCATCCAATAGGGTAAAGCATTCAGTTTAACTCCTGCTTTACCTGTGAAAATGAAATTTGGAGGTAAAATGCATCCCTTGCCTTCATCTGAACGCACAGTACTAATTCCCTTACCTCCTTGCCTGAGAATAGAGCCTGCAGAAACCCTCCTCATCTTTCCAGATCTAGGAAAAGAGCTGATATCCAGAGAAGAGGACCCTGGTAATTTTTCCAATCAGAATTAATTGTTTTCTACCTCCACCCATTTTGGTACCTAATCCAATACCCCTTTTGTAGCCTTGTAATACATTTGTGTAAATGGCTATCTCCTCCATAAGATTCTGGGTTCTTTGAGAGTCCAGACTATTCCTTGGATATTTGTAGTCCTCAGGGAGTACCTACTTGGTATTTGAGACATAATAAAAATGATCAAATAGGCCGGAAGTGGTGGCTTAACACCTGTAATCTCAGCACTTTGAGAGGCCGAGGGGGGTGGCTTACCTGAAGTCGGGAGTTTGAGACCAGTCTGACCAACATGGAGAAACCCTGTCTCTAGTAAAAACGAAAAATTAGCGGGATGTGGTGGCACATGCCTGTAATCCCAGCTACTCACGAGGCTGAAGCAGAAGAATTGCTTGAATCCAGGAGGCAGAGGTTGCAGTGAGCCGAGATGACACCACTGCACTCCAGCCTGGGCAACGAGAGTGAAACTCCATCTCAAAAAAAAAAAAAAAGATTTAATATATTGTATTAAGTAAGCAACTAATATTTGACAGGAAGGAATATTAAAACAACAAAGAATTAGAGGAAGTAAGTTTCCAGTGAGTAACGTATTCTAAGGGTCAGACAACTGCAGAAAGGC